TGCCCAAGAGCCGCCCGGAATTCCACTCCTGCCTCCATGTAAAGTCCACCCCATGCAGTGCCCACCCCAGGGTTGCCACCAGCATGATTTTAATGGGCAAGAAGCCTTGTCTTTTTGTGCAGCACAAATACCTGGAAGACCTGTAGCCCACAGACTGCTCACAGCAGCACTGAAGCTCACAGAAGGCAGATCACAGAGAACCCTCTGGCCCTGACACCTCAACTGCACATGGTCCGGGGTGCCAGCTGCCAAGCAACTGCAGCAGCATCAATCCATCCACAAAACAAAGCAAAGGATTGGCTTAAATGGCATATTTATCCCAATGCAAAGGAAAACATATTGATACCGCTTATCTTCCATAGCCTGAAGGGAGGAAAAAAGCTTGTTGCCTTTTCCATTTGTAAACTCCAGCTATTGCATGAGCCTGACAGCAAGAAAACCACTAACAGCTCATAGGCAATAAATAAATATACCTGGCTCCTCACAAACAAGAACAGGCTCTTCAAGTCACTGAAAGATCTGGGTTTCTTTACAATGAAGTCTTGGGGCCAGGTAGGACCATATTAGGAAAGGGTCAGACCTACAAGCCCTTCCCATAAACACATTGCATTTAGGTTTATTTCTACAATTCAAGTAAAAACCATCTTAACTGGGCTGAAGTCTGCACTGGATTTAGGGAGATAACAGGAGAAGCCCCCAAAAACCACGAATTTAATAAGCAAAACCAAAGCTTTGTAAAGGCTGTGACTAAAGTCAAGTGGTCCCGAAGACTGAATGAAGTGCTTGCCCCGGCACTGCCTGAAAGCTGCACAAAGAAAGAGGGGTTTCATGGCATTTCAGGGATATTCAGCTTCTCACTCATTCTTGTTTAACAAAGAGGGAGCCCTAGCACACACACGTTAAATACAGGAGAACCCACCCTGAGAAGCCCAAACCCAGGCTATTTGTATACACACGTGCTTCAGATACAGGGCTTGTGATTAGGAAATACAGAGGGTTGGAGGTGCTGTGCTGTGTATTTCCAAAGTGTTCAAAACATGAGAAAACGGAGCCCAAATTTAACACAACCACCACATTTTGTCATAGATTTGTAAAGTCTGAAATTTAAACTGAAATCACCCAGAAAACTCTATCTGTACAGACCCAAGTACATGCATGTAAATGCTAATGCTGAGACTTGCTACAGAATCATGGAACAGTTAGGGTTGGAAAGGACCTCAAAATCATCCAATTCCAACCCCATGACAAATACTGGCTCAGTTCTGCAAAGGTTACAGGGTTTAAAAGAAATGGCACTAACTGAAGGGTGAAAACATTAATCCACATGGCATCAGTAATGCTAAAGCGATTTGATGGAAGATTATACATCAACTCTGCATTTGTGATTTCAACACCAATGGATGAAGGAGCAGAAGGATTGCGACTGAGAGAAGAGACCCTGTGGAAATGCAGAGGCAGCAATGGAGCTTTGACTTAGCAGAAAATAACTGCTCTTGCAGAATCATTCTACACCAAACTATCTGATTTAAAAAGACTACCTTCCTTCGAGGAAACCAGCACTGGAAAACCCTGCAAGTCTTCGTTCCAGGTTAGACTGCCTCTGTTGTAAAGGAAAATACAATACTCTGAGCATTTTGTTTGAGATAAAAACCATTAAGAACCTTTCACCTCTTCAGCATCTCCTCCTGCCCTCATGGCTCAGACAAGGATCCCCCCCAAGGAGACCTCTGAGCGAGCAATGGGTTTGTGCTAATGCATCCTTCTGCATATGTTACAGCAGCTACTGCTGAGGGCATCCACAGCACCGGGGCCAATCCAGCACAGAGCACGAGCAAGAAAATGCAGTTTATGTGGACATGTGCATAAAATCATATAAAAAGCCATTTGACGGCTGACAAATGTTTCAAAATGGAAACAGATGCTCAAATGCCAGGGTTCCCCTTGCTCTGAGGAGAAGTGCAGGAGGCAGCATCCCAGCTCCACTTACCCAATCACCTATCTGTGGCTCCTATTCTACTAATCTCCAGTTCTGCAGGACTCCATATGGCTGCTGAGCAACAGCCCACAATCAGCACCCAAAAACTCTTGAGGGCATCTATTCCATAAGCCATTGGCAAGCAGGCAGATGGAGATGAGCTCTTAGGCAGAAGCTCTTCCCTGTGAGGGTGCTGAGGCACTGGCACAGGGTGCCCAGAGAAGCTGTGGCTGCCCCGTCCCTGGCAGTGCTCAAGGCCAGGTTGGACACAGGGGCTTGGAGCAAGCTGCTCTAGTGGAAGGGGTCCCTGCCCGTGGGAGGGGTTGGAGCTGGAGGAGCTTTAAGGTCCCTTCAACACAAACCAGGCTGGGATTCTATGAACGCCTTCTCAAAGACACCCAATAAGAACACACTCTTTGTACAGCACCACTGTTGGTGATGGCTTTGAGAACCAGGAATGCCAAACTGCAAGAAAACACCCTCACACACTTAAAATAGCATCAATAACTGTAAATGCATGGAACATCATTACCAGAGGGCTTCAGCTTTCATCTAACGGGTGCCACCAAGGGGTCCTGCTCGTGGTCCCTCACCCCACAGAGGGACATGTACATCACACAGATGCCATAAGGGCAGATCTGCCTTGGGACCCAACCAGCCCTGATTTCATCCACACACAGAGAGCACAATGCAGGAGACACAAATATTAATCTTCCTCTGCAAAAATATCTAGTCGCTGCCTTCCTCATGAAAAATGCAGTACCCAACAGACATGAAAGCAGCTCTCATGGCGAGGTGGGAAAATAAAACGTCACTGTTGGCTTTAGACACACAAAATAAGTACACAAATTCATGTTTTGCAATACGCAAGAGTGTAATAGCTGCTTCCTTTTCTTACAGAAAATAACACCTTTAGTAGCTGCATCTCCAGCTGTTAAATGATGAGCATTACCGCTCGCCGAACTCCGATGCCTCCTTCCTTTATCTCTGTAACATTGCTGATACATCGAGAAAACAGTTGTATCATTACTGATAACTGTGGAAGGCAAAACTGTCATGAGACAGGCTTCCAAAAATGAAGACAGAGCCTGCACAAAGCTTACGAGCTCCTCAGTTTAAACCACTTAACTAAGCAATTTGCTCTTGGTATTTTTATTACTCTTCATATTAAGTGTAAAGATTGCATAGGAAATGCTTTGAGCACAATCATAACACTTCTCAGAAGGAGCTCCTGATGATTCTGGTGGGGCACCAATACTGCCATCCAGCAGCGGTGCCACCACCATGCATACTTCTGCTCACACACAGCCTAGGACACCACTGGGTTAGCACTGACCACAGGGATCAGATGATTTCAAGAGGGATGGGAAGATTTTGACAGGCTGAGAGAGCTGGGCTGGGGCAGCCTGGAGAAGAGAAGGCTCCTGAAGGGGAGACCTGAGAGCAGCTCCAGTGCCTGAAGGGGCTGCAGGAAAGCTGGAGAGGGGCTTGGGACAAGGGATGTAGGGACAGGCCAAGGGGAATGGCTTTAACCTGCCAGAGGGGAGACTGAGATGAGCTCTTAGGCAGAAGCTCTTCCCTGCGAGGGGAGGTGGCAGCCACACTGAGCACGCCGCTGGAGGAAGAGTTGGATCCACACAAACATCCCCTGTGTAAACAGGCTTGTGCGCACACACATTGCCCAGAGGGAAGAAAATCATCTTTTCTCTGTCCTGCTTCCAGGCCACAGATGTGGCATCAGACCGGGAATGTCCCTGTCAGCCAGGCACGCTTCCCTAACCCGCTGTGCCAGGTACGCTCCCGCTTTCTGTCTGAAACACTGTGTGATAAAACATGTTTATGCATGCTTAGGATATTGGGGTATTTGGGTTATATACACAGCCAACCAACCAACAGGCTGTCACTCCCCTGCACAAAACACTTCGCTTTCCATCCTGCCTGTCCTTAAAACGAGCGCCAACCGGTGCCTCCTGTCTGGGAGCGCAGCTCAACAATTGCCCACAGTATCCCGGAGGAATGCATCCATCCAACAGGATCCCACCAGCAGCAGTCTCACTCCAAGCATTGCTCCACTTGAGCACGGGGCGATTCTGGCAGGAGGAGGAGGCAGCTTTCTGCTAACCCATCAAACCACAGAAGCGATGCGAGCGGCTCGATGTGTTTCAGTACAGACCAATATTCACTGCTAATTAATCAGCCTGGCAAACGAACCCAGGCAGCGAGGAGCAATTCCAGCACTCTCTCAGTGAATCTCTGGGTTACTGGCATAACACAGGAAGGCTTCCTGGGTGCTACGGGGTAGCAAAACAAAAAGGACTTTACAGGGCAAAGACCAAGATAAGGAGGGCTCTGCTGTCAACCCAGCACTCATCACCTTCACTCTAAGAAACAATTTAGAACAAGCCATTAACAATATCCTAATTTTCCATTTAAGGATATATGTTATGGGTATAACCATTTTATAACCGTTTCTATGAAACAACCACTTTAAATCACTACTGCAGCAGCAAATAGAGAGATTCAGCTTTACCACAATGTAATTCCTGTTCTTTTCCCCAAGTCTAAATCTCAGCTCCTCTGTTACAGCTGTGACATACCTGAGTTACCCAGATTAATGGAATTTATTTCAGGAATAACATTGTGTATAACCGAGTCTTAATGAGATGATGGATCAATTGCTCTTCCCTACTGAGAGCTGTCTACACAGACTACACCAGACTCTAGAAGCCAGCAGGAGAATTATACATGAACTGTGTCAAGAATTTCTTGTTTGAAAACAAGCCAAGGCTGCCCCTTCATTCCAGGAGTCAACAGCCACTTATGGAATAATCTGTTATAATCTTCTATAATTACACGTGATCTTTTGTTCTTTAAGAAATTTAGAGGATGAAATGCACTTTGCCATCAAGGTTCAGATCAAGCAAGAGGTTTTCAGCTGAATGCAATGAAACCCTTACATTAGAGAATGGTTTATGCATCTCTGAGAGATCCAGGTAATAAAAAACATAAGTACTTAATTAATAACGTCCGACTGACCTGGTATCAGTTGAGGTGCCAGCACCACGGTGGGGAGAGGCCTGGAGGCAGCAGCTGGCCTGGCTATAGCCATAGCGACCTGATTGCTCATTAACAGCGGCTTCTCACCGCCCTGGAAGAGTCCCGAGTCCTCAGGATGGAGCCACGCTGAATCCAGAGCAAAGGCATTATTCAGGTATATCTGCCCAACATAAAGGAATAGAAGGATAAGGTTTGAGGTACAAAATTCAGACATAAAACTCAATATTACAACAGGCAGTATCTCAAGCTAGGGACCAGCTTGCAAAAATAACTGATTTTAGCTCCCTCAGTGCCGCAGGATGGGTTGAGCTGACCATTTAAAAGTGGATTCCCATTTAACATGGCTAATCAGCATCATAAAGAGAAAGGAATAGCTGAAGGCACTTGTGTCCCACACACAGCTGCTCTGGAGTAAGCCCACCTCTGATCCAGAGACCTCATCCATCTTCCAAATTGGAGAGACGGGTGTGAGGGACATGGGATAGTGTCATAAAGACACATTTCCATTATTCAGCCAGATAAATTATGGATGTAGGTAGCTGTGGGCAAGATGAGGACACAGGACAATGAGTGACACCCCAGGGGCATGGTAGCGCTCATGGTGATGCCAGCGCTGCCAGTGCAACACAGCAGCATCCCTTGGGGAAAACAGTGGAAGGACCAAAAAGAAAGGGAAAATGGAAAACTCCCATAACTACATCCCACTGAAACATTCTATTTAACGTAATAAAGACTAATAGTAAGGATACTTCAGTCTTTTTAAAACTTGAGAAAAACAAAGATGTGTAACGGCTGAAGCAGACTCCTCCATTATCCATCCCTCACAACATTCCTCCTCCGTGGAGTTTTACCTGACCAACTCCTGCCCTCTCCTACACCTTCACAATTCACCAAACCCGTGACATTTCCAGTACTTCACCCTTAAAACCCTTCAACACACCGTGACCGGACTTACTTTGCAGCTGGGGAGCCTTTTATCGATCCAGTTTTTCCCAGCGTGAGGTGGGACCGTAGATGTGTACACAGGTGGAAAAACAGGGACAAATTCCACGCTCGAAGAAGGTGAAAATCCAATGACTGGGGAATGAGCTCCAAATATCCACTAGGGGAGAGAAAAAAAAAGAGAAGACAGTAAGAGAAGTTAATAGAAGGGTTTTATCCTGAATAAGCTGATGCTTTTCATAATTCCCTAATGTCATATGAGTACAGAAGATTTCAAATATGCCCCTTCAACCCAACAACCATTTGGGTTTCTTTAGGCATTGCACAGTGCGCCTGGCACTGGCATGATAAAGGGCTTTAGATAGCCACAAATCAGTAGCCAGGCAGGAAAGCAGGACTTGGCCAATGGCTGCTAGCTGCCAGGGCAGTCTGGTTCTCCTCTGCTCAACCAACCTCAGACACGGAACAGGATCATCACTAGAAACTGGCTTTAAAATTCATCTGGAAGCGAGTAAGAGCCATAGGAAACGTCAGAAACGTTTCTTCTTTCACTTAAATTCGTTTGGCTCCCACGGTAAAACCACCGCTGCAGTTTACGCGCTCTCACACCGGGGAGGAACTGATGCTCGGTTCTACCAGAGCCCGCGCTGCCCATCCCTCGCCTCCCTCCCGCTCTGCTCCCAAACCACCGGAGCCGCTCGCGCCCGGCAAGGCTGGAAACCATCACTCGGGCGCCAGCGGACGCCTCGGCGCTCGCATCCCGCTGCGTTTGTGCTTCTGCCGAGTAAAAACCACCCCGCCGAGGCAGCGCAGCACCCGCCACATCCCTGTGCCGGGACAGCGCGAACGCTCCGCTGCTCCGAGCAGCGCTACGACAGCAGTTCATAACTGAAACACGCACTGGAGGAGCAGCGACTTGAGTCACAACTTCGGGTCTGCGAACAGCCACCGAAAACGAGCCCTTCCCTGCGCGCACGGCCGCGGGAGCGCTTCCGTCCGCGCTGCGTCGGCACAAAACGCCTCTAGCGATCGGCCTCCACCGGCCCCGTCGGAGACCCGCAGCCCCCCGCACCCCAGCCCCGGGGAAGCGCTGCGGCCGGGTCCCGGGAAAGGCGGAAGCCCCGACACACGCCGCGCCGCCCGGCCGAGCGCAGCGGGCACGGCACACGGGGCACCCCGAGCCCACGGGGCACCGCGGGCACCTGCCCCGCCGCTGCCCCCCCCCGCCCCGCTTCGGGCTGAGGCTCCCTCCCCGGCGCTGGCGATGGGCTCCGGACGGCAGCACCGGGAAACCGCCCCCGCGGCAGACCCCGGCCCCGGTCCTTCCTTACCTGCCCGTGCAGGAGCGCGGCGGAGCGGGGCTCGGCGGCCAGCAGCGGCAGCAGCGGCTCGCAGGGGACGCGCCAGCCCGGGGCTGCCCGCAGCAGGGCGGCGGCGGGAGCGGGCGGCGGCGGCGCCGGGAGCAGCAGCGGCGGAGGCGGCGGCGGGGGAGCCCCGGAGGCGGCAGCGCCGACCCGGACGAGCCCCGCGGCTGCCGGGAGCACCCAGGCCCAGGGGGGAGCCGGGGGCTCGGCGGCGGGGGGCGGCCAGAGCAGGGGCGGCGGCCGCTTGGCTGCGGGAGCCGGCAGCATCCTACATGGCACGGGGCGCGGGGAGCCCGGCCGCTCCTCACCCCGCTCCAGCACCGGCGCCGCCGCCGAGTGAAACTCCAGCCGTCGGCGGGCGCTGCCGCCAGGCTCCGCCCGGAGAGGAGGGGGCACGGGGCGGGGGCCGTGGTGGGGCCGCCTCCCCCGGGGGGGGGGAGCACCGGTAACCGGCCAGGACCGCCCCCGGGGCCGGCCCCAGTCGGGGCGCGGCGTTTTTGGGGGGGGGGGGGAAAGGGGGATTTTGGGCGCTGTGTGGGGTGAAGGCTTTTCAGCGGCTTCTGGCACCGCCTGACCCTGCCCAAGGCAAGGGGGGTCCGGGGCCAGCGCTTCCGGGGGAGCCGGCAGCGGGCGCGAATCGTGGGGTCACGGAGTCTGTGTTGGAAGGGACCTTAAAGCTCCGCCAGCTCCAACCCCTGCCACGGGCAGGGACCCCTTCCACTAGAGCAGCTTGCTCCAAGCCCCTGTGTCCAACCTGTATCAGGTGCAGTTCGGTACAGTTATGACTTCCTACTTCATACCTTGGGGCCACATGAATGGATGTTCTCCCAGGAACACTGACCCACCAGCCCCAAACCCCCAGAATACACAAACAGGGACTCCTATGGGAGCACTTCCAAAGCAAGGCTCCCATAAATACCACAGCTGTCCCAGAAGGAAGCGAGTAAAATCCAGGCATTTGGGTGACAAGGATAAATATAAACGGGTTACTGCTATCCTTTAATTAAATAGCCAACTCACAGTGAGGAGACAGGTCCAGCCGTGCCCAGGATCCATACTGGCTTTGAAATGCACCTTGCTGTCATTTCTGTAGGAAATAGGAAATACAATTGGAAATGAGCTGCAAATGATGGTAAACTGAAATAGGAAAGGAGCTGCAATAGGAAATGGGAATAATAGAAATACAATAGGAAATGAGCTGCAAATTATGGTAAACTGGAAGGCAGCATCTTGTGTGGGTTCTGTGGGACTACCATATGCACACAGGACCATCAAAGCTGACATTTGAGAGGGACTGTATTTGGAAACAAAGAATCCCTGACTGTTTTGGGTTGGAAGGGACCTTCAAGCTCGTACAATTCCAACTCCCTATGAAATACAGCACTCCTTGAGAGGTCTGGTTTAAATGCAATAGCTCATCAGTGAAATACTGAAAATAATAGCAAAAAATGGAACAGTTTATCTTTATTATGGCTCCAGATTTGGTGGGGGGGGGGGGGGGGGTTGAAAGAGAATTTGAAGAAGTTCAGCAACTTCTTAGCCTCCAGACGATGCTCCCGGCACTGTGGTTTAGTTGCAGGCTGTCCTGCAAGGAGCGGGGCGTTGGGTTCAGTTATTCCTATGGATCTCTCCCAGGATGCTTCATGACTCCAGCAACCCCCTGTATATCACAGAATCATAGAATAATTAGGGTCGAAAAGGACCTCAAGATCATCCAGTTCCAACCCCCCCGCCATGCAGGGACATCTCACACTAAATCATATCACCCAAGGCCTCGTCCAGCCTGGCCTTGAACACTGCCAGGGATGGAGCATTCACAGCTTCCCTGGGCAACCCATTCCAGTGCCTCACCGCCCTGACAGGAAAGAATTTCCTTCTTGTATCCAATCTAAACTTCCCCTGTTTCAGTTTTAACCTGTTACCCCTTGTCCTGTCACTACAGTCCCTAATGAAGAGTCCCTCCCCAGCATCCCTATAGGCCCCCTTCAGATACTGGAAGCTGCTCTGAGGTCTCCACGCAGCTTCTCTTCTCCATTCTGAACAGCCCCAACTTCCTCAGCCTGTCTTCATACAGGAGGTGCTCCAGCCCCTGATCATCCTCGTGGCCTCCTCTGGACTTGTTCCAACAGTTCCATGTTCTTTTTATGTTGAGGACACCAGAACTGCACACAATACACTAACTGGCCGGGGTACACAGATACCTTTCCTGAGGTGCACAACAGCAAGACTATTTCTCCTCTGTAAAACCCAGAAGCAAGGTGGCTTCGCAGAGGGCTTTATTCTGTCCCAAAACCACTACTAGCACCAGCCCAGTAAAATTACCCAAGGCCAGCCTAGGGCCAGCGCTGGGGTGCCTATTTAAAGCGCAAATCAGTGTTGTTTAGATCATCAAACCCACTGCTTAATCAATTGAAATCATTATTATTTCATACCAGTGGGCAGTCTTACTCAACGCTTCCCTAATGTTAGATGAGGACATCTGTGTGTGTAGTGCGGCTTCAGAAAATCCCAGCTCACTTGGGTTGATGAGGCTCAGAGGAGCAGTTCTCATCCGTGGACACACATTCCCACCTGGCTGAAGGGATTCCCACACGCACATCAGCTGCTTTTTGCTTCAGCTTCCATTTCCTATGCTTTAAAAGATAGTAATAGGGTTCTTGTTGCCTTTCTCATGGAGCTGGGAAGGGGTTTGGGTGTTCCCAGGCCGCTTGTGTGGCAGGTTGTAGGGGTCACCATGGGGCAAGCTCTGTGTAACCGGGCTGCAGCCATGCAGGCGAGGGGTGATGGAGGAGAGGGGTGACATCAGGATCAAGGGGTTATGGTGGGGAGGAAGAATGACAGTTAGAGAGAGGGGTGATAGCAGGAATAAGGGGTGAGAGCAGGAGTGAGAGTGACAGAAGGAGGGGTGACGGCATGAGAAAGGGGTGAGAGCAAGAGAGAGGGGTGACAACAGAAGGAGTGACAGCAGGAGGGAGGAGAGATGGCAGGAATGAGGGGTTGGGGCAGGGGGAGAAGGAATAGCAGCGTCAGGGGTGGTGGCAGGAGCAAAGGGTGACAGCAGGATCGAGGGGCTGCACCGCCCGCTCTGCACAGGCGATGTGCGCTGCCGGCCTCTGCTTTTCCCGGCCAGCCCAGCGAGCGGCAGTGATGCCGAGCCCAGCAGCGGCGCTGGGGATGCGCGCAGCCCGCAGCCATCGCTGGGGACAGCCCGGCTGAGGGCTGGAGACAGGGACAGGCTCCTGACAGCCTGCAGAGCCCTGGGTGAGCGGCGGGCACTGAGCGTACAGCCTGAAACCAGAGGGTGCGGAGCGAAAGCGTTCAGGTAAAGTTTGCCCGTTCTGGACCCACTCCTTGTGCTCCTCTGGGCAGGGTCTGCAGCATCTTCATGATGTTCTGGAGAAGAGAAGGCTCCTGAAGGGGAGACCTGAGAGCAGCTCCAGTGCCTGAAGGGGCTGCAGGAAAGCTGGAGAGGGGCTTGGGACAAGGGATGTAGGGACAGGCCAAGGGGAATGGCTTTAACCTGCCCGAGGGGAGACTGAGATGAGCTCTTAGGCAGAAGCTCTTCCCTGTGAGGGTGCTGAGGCGCTGGCACAGGGTGCCCAGAGAAGCTGTGGCTGCCCCATCCCTGGCAGTGTTCAAGGCCAGGTTGGACACAGGGGCTTGGAGCAAGCTGCTCTAGTGGAAGGGGTCCCTGCCATGGCAGGGGTTGGAGCTGAATCATCTTAAGGTCCCTTCAAGCAAGTCTGTGATTCTGTGAGCCTCTGTATACTTGAATGTGCTTAAATTACCAGAACCTCAGCAGAATTACATACTTGCAAATTCCTAATAGATAAATTCCTCCGTGCTTCCATGTGCTCTCTAAGCTGAGTCCCAGGGAACAAAGCTTACAGCTGTCTTTGCCATCATCTACCTCTCAGGTTAGAAGCTTACTTCACCCGGGGCTGGAGCAAGGAGCAGGAATCACCTTGGTCATCCTGGAGCATCTTCTGCTCTGTTTTAAAGCATGTGTGAGCACACATACATTTCCCTTTGCAGGCACTAACCCATCTGGTGACTCCTCAGCAGCAGTTCAGCATCAGGAACCCCATCTGAGGAGCTCTTATGTCTTCCCAAGCAGAGCTGTCAAAACACCCGGCCAAACAAATGACCTGGCGAGGTGATTGTTCTGTTTTCTCAGAACAGCACGGAGTTAGTGTGTCCCCTGGGTCAATCCTTATCTGCTGCATTAGTCATTTGCTCCCAACAGTGGTAAATAGCAGGTCTTTCAGACATGTATCAGATGCAGCTCTCTGTACCTCATTGTGCGATACCAAGCTACAAAGGGAAATGAGCTCCTGAGTCCAGCTGGCGATCAGCTTACAGGCTCTAGCATCAGATTTGATTGTCCCTACAGCTCTTACTGTAGCTAGAAGAATTTCAGATGCTGGTGTTATTTTCCTGTGCAGCTCCTCTGAAGCTTTGACGCATCCCCCCCTTTTGGGAATTGGTGGCCATGGAGCAGTACTCCAGGTACAGACCTGGACGGAGGGACTAAACCCTGGTGCCTAAACTAGGCATGTTCTCATGAGATTCATGTACCACTGCCTGTGTGAGGAGGAGCACCACAATACGTGCGAGCAGTGGCTGGGGGAGCAGACTGCACTGCTCCTGGGAGCAGAAGTCAGTTCTCTGCCCAGCAGAAGCCCTGAGGCAAACGTGTCGAGTGAAAAATCCTGAAATAAAATGACCTTTGGTTCTATTCCTGCAATGTGAAATACCCGATGTGGTTTGCTGAATTCTGGTGATCTCCATGAGCACTGCTTCAACCCCATTAAGAGAAATCAAAGAAATAGGGCTCAAATGGGTAGCGGCTTCAGTGCAATAAAAATCACTGCACAGGAAAACATGTGTGACCATAGAATCATATAAATCCTGGAATGGTTTGTGCTGAAGGGACCTCAAAGCTCCTCCAGCTCCAACCCCTGCCACGGGCAGGGACCCCTTCCACTAGAGCAGCTTGCTCCAACCCCTGTGTCCAACCTTGTTGTAACCAACCTCACAACAGAACCCACCTGCCCCGGGAGGCATCGACCCCTTCTCCTGGTGCAAGTGATCTGTGGCCTCGTAGTGCTGCTGATGACTCCTGGAGCTGCTGGATCGACACCATTTACATTTCCCAGTGATCCACTTGCTCCCTTTCTGCCCTCTCCAGACTCGGCAGCCTTCAGGTTTTGGGTGGTCCCACCAGGAGACTATGGCTAATTTCACCTTGCTGGGAGCTGGGTTAACCCAGTGGCAGCTCTCAGAGAAGGACATAATGGCACAAAGATGATTAATTAGCAAATTAAACTGGG